TCACAGTTGCTTCCCCATGGGAAAGCATTTGGCTTTTCTAACTGGCCCATGTGTGCTCTTCTAGGTTGCTGAGCGGTTGATGACAATTGCCTATGAGAGTGGAGTTAATCTCTTTGATACTGCCGAGGTCTATGCAGCTGGAAAGTAAGTTGGTACCTGTTTTTGTCCTTCAGTGACATTTGTAAAATCAAGGAAATCTTCCCAGACCACTGCCAACTAGATGGCCTGCCCTTCCCCACTCAGGTGTGTGGCTCGGCTTCTCCACTTTCCCTCTACCACCCTCACTAGAATGAGGGAAAATGTGACCATCTTTGATCCTCTCTTCCTGTCTCTAATCCCTGTATGCAGCATGAATTGGAGGGAAGTAGAGCCAGAAGCAATTGTTATAGTCTACTTGAGGGGTAAATTTGGCTGGGACTAGAGTGGTGGCAGTGGAGATTGATAAATGTTAACTGAATGTATGAGTGAGGAAATGAGCAGATTCCAATGTGGCCATTGAAAAGTTAGTCACATTATTTCATAACCACATCTTGTGGTTCCTTAAGCCTCAAGTGAAACTGGGACATCCTCTCTGCAGGAAAGCAGAACTCCTTTTCCTGTTTTCAGGCGTGTCCCAACATCTAGCAGTAAGGTAGATTAGAGATTAAAGAAAGGATCTCCAAAGATGTCCAAAAATCCAATGTCATTTATAAAAGGGCATTTCAGACCACATTCTGAGGAGACAGAGGGATGCAGAAGGCTTCCCTTCTTTTGCTTGAGGTGTCACATCTAGATGCAACCTCCCATGGACCCAGGAGCATGTTTGGAGCTCAATGACAGGGCCTATTAAATCAGAGAACACGGGTTAAGGCCTCTGGACCAGGCCTCACGTTCCACACCCCCTCATGGCCTGGCACAACAAGCACATTTCAGAAAAGAACTAGTCACTCCCTGGCCTCCTACCATGAACCTGGATGGACGGCTTCCAGAACCTAAGGAAACTTAATAGCTGGACATCTGGTTGAGCAGGTCTGCAATTTCCTAACAGGACTGTGGAACATAATTACCTGCAGGACTGATTCACCTCCTTTCAGGTGAAAATTACAACCAAACTGTTGGACTTGCTCAACCAGATTCATCATCACCCTAAGTGTATATATAATTTGCCTGGGTTTCCTCCCTTTCAAGGGCAGATCTATTTTTAAGATCTATATAAGAGGTTCAGGAGCTCTGGTAGTGTAGTGCCTAAGGCACTTGACTGCTAACCAGAAGGCTGGCGGTTCAAACCCACCAGCCACTCCTTGCCCGGTAGACTAGGTTTCCGGACTCGGCCCTCCCTCCTAAACCCTAGGAGGCCAATCCAGTCAGTCAGGAGGTGTTATAGGAGCTCTGGTAGCGTAGTGTCTAAGGCACTTGACTGCTAACCAGAAGGCTGGAGGTTCAAACCCACCACTCACTCCTGGGAAGGAAGATGGGGCAATCTACTTCAGTAGTGCTACGCCTCAGAAACCCAAGGAGGGGTCCCTATAAGTCGGGCTGACTCGATGGCACATAACAACAACAAGAGGTTCAGAGTCCACATCCCTGATTTTTCTGTTGAGTCTAAGGGGAGAAAATAAAATTCTAAGGCCTTTCTCTTTTCCACATCCTACCCTTTGTCAGTTTTTTTATCATTTTGTTGAACTCTGCTTAGCACCAAAGGGGGCTAAGGTTACAAAAAGGGGAGAGTGACTAACAAGTCTGTCATTTGGAGTTGTGATTGTGTTCCCGTTGTGAAGCATAATCAGTTCTGATTAATTATTGATTGTCAGTATCTAAGTGAGATAGGTTTCCACTGTGAAATGTGAGGTTGCAAAAGGCAACAACAGAGAGACAGCAGGGGAAAAAAAAAAAAACTTGTGTAATGCATTCAATACATGTCTTTTGATGACATACTCCATAGCTAACCCACATCATACTTTATTGACAGGCTGTACACTCTAACTGAGGGAAGTGGTTTCAGTGGTAGAATTCTCATCTTCCATTTGGGAGAGCTGGTTCAATTGCCAATCAATGTACCTCAAGCCACCACTCATCTGACAATGGAGACTTCCATATTGCTATGGTGCTGAATAGGTTTCAGTGGAGCTTCCAGACTAAGACAGACTCAAATTGTATGGCTCACAAAGGTTAGATCATTAAGGTTGGATCACAGTCCTATCCTGTTGTGCATGGAGTTTCCATGAATCAGGAGCTGACTTGACAACATCTAACAACATACTCTAACAAAGGCAGAATTTTCAGTTTAGACAATGATTAGTGATGACTCTTATCTATAAGACCCTGATGGGCAAAAACACTAATTCAATTGACTCCCTGAGATCCCAGTTGCTTCTCACAAGTTTATCTTACCCAGACAGATAAAGAAGAAAGATTTAGTCTTCTCAAGCTTTGGTCCATCATGCCTCTCCCAGAAGGGAGAAAGGACAGCAGAGATGACATCAATACAGCTCCCCACACCACCTCATGGGCAGGAAGGATACTTCCAAACCTTTCTTCTTTTATCTTGCTCCTACAACAAAGTTTCTGAGACAAAATTTGTCACTAGAACCCAGGACGTTCTCTAGATTTGGGCCACTGCATCTGCAGGCCTAGCCTTCGGGACATGTAAAGACACATGAAGATTCTTCTTTTATCCTGTGATAGCCCCTGAGAGTCATGATTTCTGTGTAAACAGTGTGTTGTTTCATTGTCCTGCCCAGTCACAACTGGAGACTATAGCAATTAGTCACAGGAAAATTAGTCAAGAAAAACCTTGACTCCCATTGGATACCACCAAGCATATGGGCCTATATATATATGGGCTTAGGTGGTTCCAAAACACTAAACTGCCAAATGATTCCACTGTTTCTTAGTATCAGGACTGCAGGCAGTCTGCTGCCAGTGTGTCAGAATTTGGCAGGTGCTTCTGGAATGCTCCAGAGCAGGATTCTCCAGGCACAAGCAGAAACAGCGGAAACTGTGCTACCAGCTGAGAGTAGCTTCTATTTTCAGGATATGTAGGCACTGAGAGTTCAAACAAGGAATGGCTTGGGCATATTGGATTGCCTCTTGCTTTCCCAGGACACTGCATCTTAAGTCATCATCTTTTTTTCCCTCTAGGGCTGAAGTGATCCTGGGGAGCATCATCAAGAAGAAAGGCTGGAGGTACCTGAATTCATCATAATAATTTATTTGCCTATTAAGAGTTTAAAGAACATTATTGTTTTTCACCTGAGCAGGGGAAATAAAATCATATTTATTGCAAATCATATTTACTGATCAAAGGCTGTCTTTAAGAAAAAAAAGTCAACTCTTGTAAAGGAATGATTTACAGTGGTTTGAAAATAAATGTCAACAAGTTCATTACTTGTGTTTCAAAATTATTAACTAGTCATTGATCACAGTGAATTACCATGGAGTTGAGCAGAGAAGGAAGGAATATTGGTGAGATATCTGTACATAAAAGGTGATGTTTTTATGGCTTTTGACTGCTATTTGTGGTAATTTGGT